TAGGGTCAATCAGTCAACAAGCATTTATTAAGCACCTGCTGTATAGTATAGGCCAGGCACTGCGCTAAGTGCTGGGAATACAAAGAAAGTTAAAAGAGTGTCCCTGTTCTCTAGGAGTTCAGTCTAACAGGGGAGACAAAGTGCAAAACAATTATGTAGGTCAAACAAGGTATAGACAGCTAGGAAGTGTAAGATGTGCGTTTGGAACCCAACTCCTTTGACTCCAGAGCTAGTGTTCTTCCCACTGCACCAGGCTGCATATTACACTTGGTACTGTTAGTATTAAACCAGAAAATCTGTTTCTTCCCACTGTAGAACGGCCAATTCTATGCACATTCTCTCCAACTTCAGAAGTCTTATGCACAATAGCTAACCTTCATATATCACTTTAGGGGCTGCAAGTATTTCTCTTCTATTATCTTATTTGATCCTCACAACAACCCAGTAAGGTAGATGCCATTATTGCCCCCATTTTACAGATATGGAAACTGATGAGTCTCCACATCTGTAAAGTGACTGAGAAAGGTTCAGTGACCGGCTTAGGGTCCCACGGTTAGTAACAGTCTGAGGCAGGATTCAAACATCAGGTCTTCCTAATTCCAAAGTCCAGCAGTCTAACCACAATGAAGTCAAGATGGTTTCTAAACAAAACTTTTCCTGCCGGCGTGTTGCTATATGAAGCTTTTCACAAATCTCATTGGGTAACTTTGAGAAGATGAAGTAACACTGCTCCACCGAGCTAGTAGTAATTCCTTGCTGTTAGGGAAGCATCTCTCTACTAATCTTCTTTTCAGGTAGCCAGCCCCATAATCCTCTTTGAGTGACCAGCTCTCTTTTGGTAATTTCCCTTTTAATGATTAAAGTTAGCTCTGAAATCTCCTTCCCTTTACTGATTTAGGCAGGTTATCCATGTAAAACTTTAGAATCCTCCCTAATTTAATTATAGTGCTCCTTTTCAAGAGAGGCAGCATAGAGTAGTGTATACAGAGCTAGCCTCAAAGCCAGGAGGACCTGGGTTCAAGATCTGCCTCTGATACATAGTACGTGACCCCCAAAAGAGTCATTTAACCTCTTAGTACCCTGGGCAATTCATGAATCAATGAATGCAACATTTATTAAGTATTCGAAGGAATGTGCAGAGAGCTGATGATACAAAAAAAGGAAGACATTCCCTGTTTTGAAGGGGCTCACATTCTAAGGGAGGAGGGGGAGACAAAACATTTGGAAATTTGCAGCTGCAAGTCAGATGGAAAAATCCATTAGTCTTTGGGGCGTAATGGCCAAATACATGGTAATACCTTTTCTTTTGCTTTTTTGATGAGCAATCAGGGTTAAGTGACTTGCTCAGGGTCACACAGCTAGTAAGTATCAAGTGTCTGAGGCTGAATTTGAACTCAGGTCCTCCTGACTCCAAGGCTGGAGCTCTATCTACTGCACCACCTACCTGCCTCAATACCTTTTCTTTAATGTTATTTCCACTAATAAAATCATACCAGTTTCCAGGGTCAGCTAGGTAGCATAATGGATAGAGCACCAGTCCTGGAGGCAGGAGGACCTGAGTTCGAATCTAGCTTCAGACTAGCTGTGTTATCCTAGGCAAGTCATTTAACTCTGACTGCTTCCAAAAAAAAAAAATTCATGACAGTGAATGGTCCAGACCCATTCTAGGCCAGCTGTGGAATATGTCCTGGGACAAACTACAAAATTCTCCTGTTAGGCTTTCTTTGAATCACCACAATAGTAAAGTGTATCTAGGCTGTTTAATTAAGTAGAGAAACACCTACTTTGTACAACTAGTCAATGACAGTGATGATGGTGGCGATTTATATAGTGTTTTAAGGTTTGCAAAATCCAGTCAACAAGTATTTATTAAGTGTGCCAGGCACTGTGCTGAGCACCGGGGATTCAAAGAAAGGCAAAAGACAGTCCCTGCCTTCAAGGAGCTCCCAGTCTAATGGAGAAGTCAAGATGTAGACAACTATATACAAACTAGATCTATCCAGGATAAACTGGAGATAACATGCAAAATGCTTTACACTTGAATTTCTCAATTCTCAATGGGGCAGAGACAACACTCACTGGCACAATTATTTTTATAGATGAGGAAATTGAAGGTAGGTGACTTTCTGGGTCATTCAGCTCCTAAGAATCAGTAGAATAGAAAGAGAGTTACTCATAGGCCCTACCTCACAAAAGCTTGAAAATCACTGGAGGAAATAAGTCATGAATACAGTTAACCACAGTAATACTAAGAAATCATTTTATCTCCTCTACTGGACTGTAACCTTCTTGTATCTTAACCTGTCTGGTCCCATTTCCATCTCCTTAAGATGAGAGGGTTGGGATAGAGATAGACCATGGGTTCTTAACCTCCTTTGAGATTCAGACCCCTCAGGCAGTGTCTGGTGAAGTCTTTGGACCCTTGCTCTGAATAATGTTTTCAGATGCAGAAAATAAAATACATAGGAGAAAGGAAACCAATTATATTGAAATATGGTTATCAAAAATATATTTTAAAACAAGTTCACAGATCCCCAGGTTATGAACTCCTATAATAGATGGTCCGTAAGATACCCTCTGTTCCTATGAAATCTTAGTTCCTGTCTATTTTCTGGCATAAGGAAACATTTCCTAAAAGAATGGTTCAAAACTAGAACTGGCTATCTTGGGAAGGGTAATTATTACTCATCATTGGGAGATCTTTTTATGATGGGTCCCCAGTAGAACATAAAGTTGAGTCAAGGGAGTTTTTCATTTTGTTTTGTGTTTCTCTAGTACTAACATGTGGTGCCTGGCATACACAGTAACATATACCAGGTGGCAAAGTGGGTAGAGCCCTGTGCCTGGAGTCAGGAAGATCTGAGCTCAGATCCTGCCTCAGACACGTCTTAGCTATCTGGCAAATCACTTAATCTCAGTTGGCCTCATCTACAAAATGGGGATCATAATGGCACCTACCTCGTAGGGTTATTGTGAAGATCAAGTGAGATAATTTTAAAGTGTTTAGGACCATGTTTGGCAATGTCTATCTGTGCGTGTGTGTGTGTGTGTGTGTATGTATATAAATGTTAGCTACTATTATTATTCTTTCCTCAGCTTCTGTGTCTCCCTCACCCCAAATTACCTTATATTTACCGTCTATGTATTTAGTGTTTACTTATCTGTACACATATTGCTTCCTCCATAGAATATAAGCCAAGGTAAGGGATTCTCTTTTATTTTCTTTCTGTGGGGCCAGTGCCACTGAACAGGGGTTAATAAATGTTTTTTTGTTTGACTTTTGGATTCCAGTGCTTAGCATAGTACCTGGCACACAGTAAGTGCTTAATAAACACTTATCAATTGATTGGATTCATTTGGTTAAATGAGCACTTGGGAGGGATATTGGAGACAGAATTCACCACGTGGATTGGGGTTGGACTACATGATCGTTGTATAGTGGAATGAGCCCTGAATTTGAGGTTAGAAGTCCTGGGTTCAAGATCAGATGAGAGTTGGGCACTGGAAAGAGTGCTGAATGTAGAGTTAGAGGATCCAAGTTCTAATCTTGCCTCTACCGTTTATCATTAATGAGGCCTAAAGCAAGTCACTTTTCCTTCCTCATCTGGACAAATGGAGTCAGACTAGATGATCTTTAATGTCCCTTTCAGATCGAAACCTATGATCCCACGTTACTTAACTTCTATGGAACCTCAGTTTCCCCATCTGTCAAATGAGAGGGTTGGATTAAGTGACCTCTAAGGTCCAATTCTCTCAATATGCGTTCCCTGGATGCTGGCCCTCCAACCCTAACTATCTGTGTGACCTGCATCAGTCACTTCCCCCCCCTCCCCCGAGCTTGTCTCCTCAACTGCAAAATGAGGAAATAGGGTCACTTCCAGCCCTAGATCTGTGATCTTGGCTTTCCCTTCTCTGAGCCTCAGTTTCCTCATCTATAAAATGAGAGGGTTGAACTAGGTGGCCTGTGAGGTCCATTACATTTATAATCCATATGACTTTATAAATGAATGAATGGATGGATGGAGGGATGGATGGATGAGTGAATGAATGAATGGAGGAAGGGAGGGATAGAGGGAAAGATGGATGGGTGAATGGATAGAGGGAGGGATGGATGGATGAGTGAATGAATGAATGGAGGAAGGGAGGGATAGAGGGAAGGATGGATGGGTGAATGGATGGAGGGAGGGATGGATGGATGAGTGAATGAATGAATGGAGGAAGGGAGGGATAGAGGGAAGGATGGATGGGTGAATGGATGGAGGGAGGGATGAATGGATGGATGGATGGTGGAAGGGATGAATGGATGAGCCAATGGAAGGAGAGAGGGAATGATGGATAAATGCATGGATGGAAGGATGGATGACTAGATGGAGAGATGCTTGCTTGGATGGATGGATGGAGGGAGGGAGGGAAGGATGAATGGATGAATGGAGAAATGGGTTAATGGACGATGGAAGGAGAGATGAATGGATAGATTGATGGATAGATCGATGGAAGGGTCAGAGGGAAGGATGGATGCATAGATGAATGAACGATTGGATGGATGGATGATGGAGGTAAGGATGAATGGATGGATAGATCTATGTGAGGACAGAGGGAAAGATGGATGAATAGAGATGGATGGAGGGAGGGATGAATGGAGGGATACCTGAATGAGAGGATGGCTGCTATGGCCGCCTCCCCTCCAGCCATCCCACAGCACAGGGATAGGGGCAGCCAGTTCCCAAAGGTCGGACCCGCCTCGCTGCCACAAGGGCGAGTTCCGGAAAGAGGGGGGAGAGGAGGGGAAGGGAGGGAGATGACGGGCCTCCCCTCCCCTCCCCTCCCCTCCCCGCCAGGCTTGCGTCATTTCCGCTTCCTTCTTCGCGCAGGGAGGCGGAGGGAGGGGCGGGGGAGAAGCGAAGCGGCACTCGCCTACAGCTCGGGCAGGCCGGGACTACATTTCCCGTGGGGCCCGGCGGCAGCGGCGGTGACGGCGTCGCGGTGGCGTCGCCCGGAAGTGAAGCCCGGGACTTCCACTCGTGCGTGAGGCGAGCGGAGCCGGAGACGAGACCCCGAGGCTGAATTCCGGATCAGACAAGATGGCCGGGCTGCCCCGCAGGATTATTAAGGTAACTGCCGCGGCCGACCCCCCCTCCGCCCCCCTGCAGAATCTCCATCTCCGTCGCGGCTCCTCCCCTCAGCACCGCGGGGCCGGCGGCGGCAGCCGGGGCCCGGGGCCTGGCCGGAGCCGGGCGGGGTTTGGCCGGAGCCCGCCGGGGCAGCGCGCGGGAGGCGCCGGAGACTTCCGGCGGGGCGCGGCGGGCCGAGCGGTGGGGCCGGGCCCCGGCTCGGGCTTCTGGAGGGGGCCCGCTTCGGGCCTGCACGCGCGCGCCCGCGTCCGCGCGGCCCCGCCGTCGCGCCCGCGCGCCCCCGGTGGGCCCCGGGCCGGCGGGCGGGAGGGAGCACGCTGCTGGCGGCGGCCGTGGCGGCGAATGAATGGGCGCGGGTGGGGCGTCCGCGCGGGGCCTCTCGCTCCCCCGCCGAGCTGCGCCCCGGCCCGGCGCCCTCGTGGCGCAGGCGGGGAAACTGAGGCCCGCGGCGGCGAGGCGGGGACTAGCAAAGGTCCGAGGGCGGATTCGAACCCAGCTCCCTCCTGGCGCCCGCACGCTGCCGCCGGGGTGTTTAACGCCCAGACAAATGGGAGGGGCCGAACTCTCCCCTCCCCCCCACTTCCTCCCCGGTATTTGGGCCGGGCACGCGAGTTCTTCGTCCCCTGGATTGGATGATTCCCGCTAAGCAGCCCGCCGCGATCGTTTAAAGAGCCTGGCCTTGGGCCTCTCCCCGCGCCCAGCCCGGCCTGGCACTCAGTGGGCGCTTTATTTGCCCCGATTGGCCTGGGGTGATGGAGTCCCAGCCCCAGCGCGAGGGTGGGGGAGGTCGGGCCTGGGGTCTGCACGTTTGCAGTCTAACGGCCCGCCTTAATGGTGGAAGCTCAATTCAGCGAACATGAGTTAAGCGCCTGCTGGATGTGAGGCACTGGCGAGACGGCCCCTGCCTTCCAGGAGCTTGCACTCTAACGGGGGAGGCGAGGCGAGGGGCAGACATAGACAGAGAAAGCTGTACACGCAGAAATAGAAAATCGTGGAAAGATCTCACCAAAGATCAGGGAGGGGCAGTGGAAAGAGCTGAGGCTGAAACTGCGCTGCCCACTGATGATGGTTAGGGCACAGAACTTGTCCTGGGAAACCTGGGATGCTTCTCAGCTGCCGGGCTGGGACGCTTCCCTTCTCTCAGCCTCAGTTTCCTCCTTTGTAAAATGGGGGAGTTGAACTCCATGGCTTCTGAGGGCCCTTTCAGCCCTACCTCTGCGATCCTTTGATCTCACAATTACGTGAGCTCTGGGGTGAGTCAGCAAGCATTTATTAAGCACTTACTGTGTGCTAGGCACCAGGTGAGGTGATGGAGGAAGCCGAAGACCCCTTTGCCTCTTGGCTATAGAGAGGTCTTTTGATGGAAATAGTTTTAAACTTTTTAAAATTTAGCACATGAGGTTTTAGTACACCAATTCTATTAGAAATATAATTTTTCTTGTTGATGGATGTATTAAAATAAGATGCTGTCCTTATTTCATTTCTTTCCATCGGAAGTTTCTGCTTTTTTCAGTGATTGCCATTTGTTTCCATTACTATCACTCCCGACCACTTTTCTTAGGGACCTTGTTGCTTTTCTTTGTGTCCCCAGCCCCTAGTACAGTGCCTGGCACTTAGTAAGGGATTTAATAAGTACTTACTGACCTGCTGAGCTCCGAGTTCGTCCAGTCATGCATAGGTGTGGAGTTGGAAAGGCAATAGAGACTGTGGAGTCCAGCTCCCTCCACTTACATAATCAAGGCTCAGAGAGGGGAAAGGACTTGCCCACAGTCAGCTAGTAAGACGCTTGGTATGACACAGAATGTGAAGGTTTGTTCGTCTTTAGGACTCCCAAGATTTTTATTTAAAAAGATCTTTTTAATGTTACATTTTATCATATAAATTTGCAATTTCCCTCTGTCTACCTCATAAAATAAAAATTGACCTTTTAGGTCTGAATATCACCATCTTGATGCCATTTGAGCTAGCTCCAAATATGATCCAAGGCAAAATTATTTTGCTCACTTCTCAGCTTATTTCACTTATAGGAGTGAGGTATGTGAAAGGTATCTCAGTGACTGCTTTACTCAACAGTAATGTGACTAAATCAGGAGTGTTTCCTTTGATTGTACCTGGTGAATGAATGCTTGTAATCTGATCAGTAATAGGCCTTTTGATTTATAGGAACAGGGAACAAATTACAAAATAAAAGCCAATTAGAGATAACTAAATATTAGCTAATAGCAGGTACTTAATGAGGGCCTTAGTGTATTTGTCCCCTGATTTTATATACAGGTACACATAGGTAATGCTGTTTTATATTTAATCAACACTGAGAAATGTATCAGGTGCTAGTTCAGTAGTTTAAAGCCAAAATGTTAAGGTCACAGTTTTGAAACACTAATCAAGGGCACAGAATTCATTGTAATATGAATTTGTCTTGGGTCTAGTCCAGGGCAATTTAGTCGCCAGAAACCCCGGAGAGGTTATTGTAATGTGGTCACACCTGTAAAGCTGTCATGTAGCATGAACCTAAATGATCATCTTATGTTTGATTTCAATTAGATTAGAAACCAAATGAGGGGGAAATGACAGATGAGAGAACTACATCCCTCATCCTCTAGAATTCCCATTTACTCTTACTACAGCTGCAAATTGATGTGCAAGATAATTTTGAGAAATACAACTAATTGGTTTAATAATATACATGAATTAGCCCACCCAAGTTGTGGTTTCTAAAGCTGTACTGTGAGTGATATGAAGGCATCTGAAGGAAAGATTTTATGCTTTAAAGTGTAGATAATATGAAACTGTAGACTTTTTATTTGGGGGGGGTAGAATTGTCATTTTTATAATATTGGCTTGGCCTACCTATGAGCAACTGATATTTCTCCAGTTGCTTGTTTCTTATTTATTTATTTTTAATTTTCAGAATTCACTTTTCTAAGATTTTGAGTTCCAAATCCGCCCCCCCAAGTTGGCATGCAATCTGATATAGGCTATATATGTATACATATTAAACATTTCCACATTAGTATAGACCTTTTTTAATTATAAATTGATGTTTATGGGTTTGAGTCCCAGTAGTTTTTTTTTTTTTAAGGCAATTGGGGTTAAGTGACTTGCCCAGGGTCACACAGCTAGTAAGTGTCAAGTGTTTGGTCTAAGGCTGGATTTGAGCTCAGGTCCTCCTGAGTTCAGGGCCAGTGCTCTATGCACTGCACCACCTAGCTGCCCCAAGTCCCAGTAGTTTTAATGGGCCTTGGATACTCTCATTTAATTTTACAGTAAATATTTACACTTTTTGCATAAACTTGGATGGTAACCCATTGGAACTGTAGAGTTTGAAAATATTAAATGTCCCTCAGCTTTCCTTTGTCATAAAAAATGCCATTCTGTTTTGTCCATTCTTTGAAAAAGAGACTTGGTGTTTTTATTAAGCCAGTATCGTTTAGGGGAGGAATTTTAGTATTGCAATCCTGCTAGCAATATAATTTTTCTCCTTGAGGTATGTATTAAAATAAGATGATGTCATTGTTTGATTTTGTCCATTGTTAACATAATATTGCCTATCTCACAATTTCTGTTAGGATCAAAAGCTTGTGAAAAGTTTTAACTGTAACGTGCTGTGAAAACAAGTATTGTTTATTTAAGTGAGTTGAGCCCTTCAGAAGAAAAGTTATGATGGAAGGATTGGGCATATTGTATAAGTAACATCAGACATTATCTAGTGGACTTAAGAATTTGAATCCTAATTAGGTTAGAGTAATTGGGAGTTGATAGGTAAATTGATCTCTTACTGTACCTCTCCCTCCAAAATAAAATTCCTTCTTGATGGGCCTGAGTGACCTTGAGCTGGTCACTTAAGGCCTCAGTTTTCTGATTTGTGAAATGAGTGGGTTGGACTAGATTGCCTCTGAAGGTCCTTTTGGCTTTGCATCAATGATCTCATTTTCTCTGTTTTCTAGAATTTTTCAGCTTTCTACCTGCTTCCATCTAAAACTTTGCTGCAGGCCTACTTTGCCTTGGGCCCTAGTTTTCTCATATGGTACTTGACAAGAACAGGTGGGGTGAGCAGTATAGTGTTACATGGACACTAGCCTACAGTTTCTCTGCATTTTATCTAGCTGATGGGGCCATTTGCAGATAGACATGCTTTATTTGCCAAATGCATGCACCAGATTATGAACTGATTTAGTGACCTCAAGGAGTGAGTGACCTGGGAGCCATATGTTTTTTGAGTTCTGATGAAACTCAGTTTTGCAAAGAATTTAGATGTTGCAACTTTTTAAAAAAGTTTTGTGGCCCAGTTCTTTTTATGCAACAAATATGAGGAAGGGCCAGGTGTTCTGACTGCTGCTTAACATATTTTAAATGAATGAAATTATATATTACTCAGCGCAATCAACATTCCTTTAAGTTGGTGTTGTTTCACTGGCATAGCAAAATGACTTGTCTTCTTCAAAGTAGTCTTAATTAAAACAACATCCAGTTGTGATCATTGACAGAAGCAGCACTGCTGCTGGAGAGAAGTGGTTTTGTGATGTGGTAGGGAAAATTTGAGAGAGTAGCCAGCCCACCACAGTTACGGTTTCATGTTTATTCAGAAATCGAGCCCCTCTTTAGCTTTCAGAGCAGTAGATTTAGACCTAGAAGGGAACTAATTGATAAAGTAGTTCAGCCCTGCCTCGTTTGACAGATGAGGAGGCCTGAGCTATCTCACTTGGTGTATTGGTTCTAGTTTCAAGCCCTTTTATGATGTTTTTGATTTGATTAACTTTTGCATTAATTGGTTTTGGGTTTGCTTTTTACTTTGGTTGTTAGGGACTCTATAGAAAATAAGTTTTAAGTTTTTGCTTGTGAGGATGAAGGAGCTATTCTCAGTATTAAAAATTCTGTCTACTTAATTTATTATGGTCACAAGATGGTTTGCTTAGTGAGAAGAAAGCTATTTGTAAAGATTCAACTGAAAGCCTTTATGGATTATTTTTAAATTGTTA